TTTCGGTGGTCAAACCTCTTGTCTCCATTTTTTCAATGCAAAATCGAATTTTTTTAGTGTTCGTGAAATGCCTATGAAGAAAATTTTTAATTGATTGCAATGAACTGCGAATGTGATTTATTAGGAATATTCTAAAGCTAGTGAAATAGGGCAGAAACACTGTGAAAATTCATTCAAGTACTATTGCTGAGACCTGGCTTACTCCGATCAAACCACAGAAATTCCATTTTCAATATGACTAGGAAGAGCATTGTTTTGTTTAGAATGTCAAACTACAGGCAAAATACCCTTTTCGGTCATTTCATGATCAAGCATTGGATCTTAGTCGTATCTGAAAAATTAAGTTCAAATTTACGGACTTTGAAACTAATTCATCCCGTTGATTCGGACTACCTCACAAATCGAATTTATTTTAATTAGGAATTTAATTTTTCAAGAAACCTTCTGCATTGATAACAAAAAGTGTGTTTATATGATTGCTCACTTTGTTATGGTTGACTGCCTGCGGATAGGATTCCTATTGACGCTTTGCCAACTCTAAAAAATTTTGTTCACTTGAAGTGTAGGTTTAAACACCAGAGTGGTTTTATGGGCTTTACTGTAGGAATGGGTGAAGGGAATTTGAATTTTTGTCAGAAATGACCAGATTTCTCTTAATGGAACGAAGGCACTTGGATTCGTTGTTATTCATTCATTCGTAGTGGCAACTGTAAGCAGAACTCCGTCAATAAAGAGGAAGCGTTCTCTCTTTATTCATTCCAATGATTGGTTTCTTCGACTCAGCAGGAAACTGCAGTTTCCGATATTACACTGAGTTTTCTAGTATGGGTACCTTTATTCCCACACACTTCAGTGTCGGGCAGCAAATTATGGCTCACTATACGCAACTTTTTCATCAAGGCAGGATTCACCTCCTTTCTCAATCGATGAAATATCTACTGCTCCCACGCAAGGCCGTCCAAAAACTCGTTAAAGTCTGAGCCATACCCTTTCTCAACACCCTTTCTGCTAAGGGCGGTGTCACATTTTCTGAGTCCAAAACATTGAAGCCGTTCTCCTTTAGTACACAGCAGTACTAATACACAATCTGAAACGCAGTCTGATAAATGGGCTTTGTTTAGTATACATTTGTTCAGCCCAAGTGATTAGTTTTCGTTCAGTGGGCTCCGAACACTAAAAACGATTATCACCGATAAAAAGGTAATAACCTGTATTTCTTTCAGTGTAATTGCTCACTATTGAAAGCAGTCATACATGTACTTGTACTGCCTCTTGCACTTTCGAAGTGCCAAAAATTTAGCATTCCGGTCAAAAGCACTAGTTGGAATGATCAAAACAATTCTTGCAATGTACTACACCAAAGTAGTAGAATCAAATGTCGGTAGAGTTCGAGTTCCCGTGAAGGATACCGATCCACGGGTTCAAAGGCGCAAAATTTTGCAATCGGTAGCAAGTACTATAGAGGTTTTTTACGCGGACGTCATCCATACGTAGCGAGTGGAGGAGCAAATGGTCACAAAACGACTGGGTAGTATCTCCCCTGTGCAGTAGCGTCGACTAACAATTCAACGCAAAATTCCGCCTCATGCATTCCTGGCCACCAGGATCTTTATCGAAAGTCAAGCGCCAAGCGCCGATCCTGAATCGAAGGAGTCTCGTTCGGTTCATCACTGATAGCCGATGTATTGGATCAATGTCGGAAGAAGTGTGTCTTGTATAATAATGCTCTTTCGGATTTCAAATCCTTTCCTTTTTCGCTCTTCCTACCCATTTTTTCTGCACCCAGTTGACTCTGCTCTTCATATAACATCATAAAAGTATGGATTGCTGAACTCCCATTCACTCAGTAAATGAAGAAGTTGGAGATAGGAAGAAGAAATGTTACCGTAAANCATCATGCAGAGATTCCAATGTACATAGCGGAATGTTCCAATGAACAGTTTATGCAGAATTGCTATGCAGAATTGCAGGAAGTTCAACAACCACCCCGCTGAGAGCCGCATGATGTATAAAACTTCAAAGAAGAGCAATATCGTTGGGCACCATCCTGTTAGGATGCTTCTCCTAAGCCATGGCCTTCGTCAGCCTTATTTTTGTGACTTCATGCTTGATCCAGCCGTTTTTATGAAGTTGTACTTGGAACAAAGGCCTGGTGTCTCTTAATCATAACGGTTGGGAACCGAGAATATGGACCCATTTCTACTGCTTTAATGGGAAATTTATTATCTGTAAACAATGAAAAAATTGAGTATGAAGTCACAGTTGCAACGTGATAAAGCCGTATGTGAGATAAGACGTAACCACACCTCATCTGAATAGACATCTGCTTCAAGTGATTAGGTAGACTGTCATTGACACTACTAGAGATGCTGGTGAGTTGCTACCTTTCCACTTTGTTTGTCTTGTCAATAAAAGCGAGACCGTGGATTAGCTGATCTTATGAGCGAAGTTCTGAATTACATATTTTGCACTCCTAACTCAGAGGTATAGGGTCACAACGAATCCCCGTTTTGGTGTGATCCTTTGATTCTACTCCCGTTCAAAATAGTAGTAGTGTTATACATGCAATTCGGTCAGCATCTTACAGGGACCAGTAATGAGCCAGCAAGTCCTTTCCAAATTCCTTCAAATCCTTCAAAAAAAAAAGTTTGCTACCAATGTATCAAGTGGGAGATTCTCTTTTTGCTTCTCACTTACACTCAGAAATTTCACAGTGTTCGCAAGCATGGGTTCAATGTCAAGTTACAAGGGACTTTCTCTTCATCCTTGTTGAATGGTTTTACGATCGAACAAGTTCGAGCGATTATATGAAAAGACTAGGAGGGCTTGAACCAAATCGAAATGAAAGTCATGCGGAGTACAGAAGCTTCCTCAGAAAAGTATCGCGTTGATGATGGACTAAATATTTACTATTCTACACATGAAAATAACGGGAATTTCATAGTCAATTTTTTATTTTCTTTTTTCATACTTCTTAACTATTTCTCATTTTTTCTAGGTCCTGCTTTCTTCCTACATTTTCTTGGCTATCTGTTCGGCTCAAAGGTTTGCCACAATAGGTGAGCAATTTTTCAATCGGTCTCTATCATTTTCACAAGTCAGATATTGATCACCAAATTTATTTGAGCATGTAGTCATGTTACACTATTTTTTCACCATATAAATAGTAAATATGATTCAGTTCACGAGCAATTTCTTATTTTTTTNTTTTTTTACTTTGGATGAATTGCCCTAAAAGCTCAGAGAAGGTTATAGTACATTGTCAATTCGTCGGAACAACCTCAAGCTTTTAGAAGAACTCCTCGCTCAACCGATTCCAGAAGAAGCCAACAAGTTAACTGGCAAAGCCTTAGTGGATTATGTTAACAGTCGTCAGTCGTTTTTCAAGGTTAAGCTTTATTTGCAGAATTTTTTGTTAAAATTTTTGCAAAATTTTGGTCACCAGTTATGTTAACCAATACTCCCTATTCCAATTTTGAGATACTTCCAATTCCACATATACGAGTCTGGGACGGAAAGAATCTGCAAAAAGTTTTGCAATACATAGTCAAGATGCCTATATTTCGGTATAACTCCCATAAAGTACTTCAAAACGACATTACTCTCGTGCCTTGCTTATCAACCATAGACCTTATTGTCTAACCATGCTAAATACGGGCTTCTTATGGCTCTAAATCTGCCCAGTTGCTGCTGAAACCCAGTTGGTCAAGGTTGGCCTAGACCCACTCTCAAGAATTTCTGTGCACGTCTCATTTCCATGCTTCAAAATCGGAAACAAGAAGGTCAGAGAAGAGCCTATCAAACGGCTGCGGTTTCGTGCATTCGCCTGATGAGCTGTGCGCATACAAGTGGCTCGGCCAATGCATCAACTTGTGGTATCAACTCACTGTTGGTAAGAATTGTAGTCATGCGGCGTAACAGTGTGAATGGTATTGAAGTAATGAGTATAATTTTTTTNTTTTTTTGTTCAACGAATGCCTATTAGTCAGGTTTTATCTTTCAATCGGTACCTTTGATTTGATGTCCCTTATGACGGCGCTTTGTGGTAGCCCGCCAAATGTAGCTAGGCTCTTCTACCAATTCTTAAAGTTGAATGGAAGGTTGTCTGACAATTTTATTTGAAATGAAGTTTAGGCAAAATATTCTCCTGAAGCAGAACAACGTTTGGAGCACCTAATGAGGCCAGAGTTCATCAAAAATGTCCGTGCGCTTTACAACGTCACGAAAGCTGAGAAACCAATCCTTAATGATATCATTCCTGAAAGGTAATCAGCACTATTCGCTTGCTCATCCACTTGATAGCATTGCGTTCTTTTTTCTAAAATGATTGGTCGTTAGGGATGGAATACAAAGGTGAATGACAATACAAAATCACAAATACATCATCAGTTCCTCAACTTGATGACATATTTTATTTAATCATTCATTCCCTAACAACGTTGCGATAACTATTGCGCTGCTCAAAAGCACTTGACAAGGATCAGAAATCAACGTTGCAGTGCCGATATGATGAAATTTTAGTGCGAATGATGGAACTTTTTCCGAAATCGGGTGTTTCCGGAAGAATCCAGCCCTGTAGCTTAAAATGACTAGATGCGGCAGTGAAATGATTACTTCTAGCATTGGTGACTACTGGCTAGTCATCCAATCTTTGAGTAAGCAATATTGTATAGTTTTCTGTTTAGCTTCGACGCTCGGAAAATATGGAAGAATTGCTCTTCTATAACATACATTCGTGATCAGTCGAAATGTGGTACGTTACTAGATTCATGTTGTGATTTCTGACAGTCCGCTCGGTGTGGACTGTCTTTTTGGAATGAAGTGCACCATGTATCTTGCGCAAGGCACAAGAGTTTTCAAGCAAGGTATCAACGGAGCGCTACCCAGCATGTCTGCGCGATACGATCCCTCCACTTCTCAGAGCACCCTCCATAGAACCGTTCAAAACAACCCTAACTAATAGTCTTTGTCGAAGTGAACATTCGGCTGTTCCTAGACACCATTTACCTCATCTTGGGCGATTTCCGGGATAGAACGCCTCAGGTTGCCTCCTCGGGGACCGAAGATCCGACTTACATTTGTAAGAATTACCCAAAACGTTTTTGAACTATGTCACTTGCCCATATCGATAGCAAACACTACAGGTTCGTGCTGGGCTGTCTCTGCCGCTGAAACAATGTCCGATCGTATTTGCGTCCAGACAAAAGGAAGGGTACAGGTAAGTTATCAGGTTTATCTACATAGTCCGCAAATCTGGAAATATCCTGCATTGCAAACAGAATGGACTAGGCAGCTTAGGAATCACCTTGTTTGCAAAGTTAAACCAGTACATACAAATGAAGATGATTCTGTAAGGAATGGCGCTGAAAATGCTTGCTCAAGCGTGTCTGATTGTGAGCCATACACTGGAACAATGGGTGGCGACAGTGGCCAACTTGTCTTCCAAAGCCCTTCTCAAACTTTGCCAACTAATCGACAAACAAGGAAAAACTACTGTTTTGTCTTGCAGGTTCTATACTTCGAAACTGAGAAATTTTCATTTTCAGAAACTGATTTCGGACGTTGATATCCTTGCTTGCTGTGGTAGCGCATGTGGGAAAGGGTAGGTTTAAAGGATGGTTGGCTGTCAAGTTGTTGTGCACTTGTTCTACCTTGATATAGTTTTTCCTTTTACTACCCAAAGTAACTTGAATCAGAGTCAACATAGTTTCCGCTATTCCCAAATCATTGTTTCGAAGGATATTTCTTAAATATTCCGCTACTCCTAAATTAAAGTGTTTTTTCTCTCAGTACTTCACCCATGAACACCTCAGTTACAGATGCGAGGGAGGATACGACCATAAAGCTTGGGAGTTCGCTAAAGAGTTCGGCGTGTGCACTGGAGGGCGCTTTGAAGAGCAGGTAGGTGGGAAAGCGCTAAATGACGTCAATGGTAGTCTACGAGGAAATCACTTGCATCGGGTGCACCTGCACCTCTTACAATTCTACCATGCATTTCAAGAACATGCTTTTTAGGGTGTCTGCAAACCTTATCCCTTCCATCCATGTGGTTTCTATGATGGGAAATGGTACAACTGCCCTAGGGATCATATATTCAAGACACCAGCGTGTAAGAAGTACTGCCAGTACGGATACGGAAAAAGATATGATAAGGATAAAATTTATGGTATGTTTAGTCGACTTTTTTTGGGAGGTGTCTTTATATTTCTATACGAAAACAAGAATTCTCCATGGTTAGTATCACGATTTTGGTAAACATAGAGTGAAACAGCTGTCACCTTGCCATTCACTGAGGCAATCGAGGCATTACTGCCACTCCTAGTTAACCCTTCATGATACTTTGAAAATTTTATCTCAAATCAGACGACTCCAGTTGTTCGCTCACTTCGATCCCTTTTTCTAAACTTTACTCCATTTTCAGCATCTATCAACATTGCTTTCTTTCCAGCAAAATCGGTTTACATCCTCGATGAAGACGAAAAAGCAATCCAAAGAGAAATGATGAAAAATGGACCTGTTCAGGCTGCCTTTATCGTTTACGAAGACTTCTCCTACTACACGAGAGGAATTTATGTGGTAATATATCAAAAGGGATTGATACCTCTGCTTGCAGTAATATGAGTATTTCCACAAATCTGCCTGCGATCTTGGTTTATAGGACAAGCTGAAAAAACGTGAACAGTGGCGGCGCGTGAAAAAAGTCCCTCAGGAAGGGACATATGTCATTCTAAATATCGCTCATTGTATTCTAATCGAACTTGGCTTTCAAACGACGGTGTAGACTGGCTGAGAATAGTTAGGTGGAAGGGAAATGACGGTGGAAGGCGACCTCTTCGAGCTGTACGTTGCTGAGGGGTCGAGGGTTGCCTATTTAGGTGATTCCCCTTCGAACTAAAACCTGTAAATGAAGCGTCGAGCCTAAGTAATGCTAGCGGACAACTGTGAGTAAACTCTCTTTGGCGGGCCTGCCGTACGGGGCCGAGTGACAAATGGGAGGGCAACCCGTAAGTGGTTCAAGTGGCCCCAACTCACGCTCAACAGTAACACCGTAAGATTGCATGAGGGAAATTGTCTACTGCACATTGGTCATTAAGTAACTTGCACTGCTGAAACTTTCATTTCCAGCACACATATGGCCGACAAACGGGCGCACATGCTGTGAAAGTCGTTGGATGGGGAGTTGACAGTTGGGATGGCAAGAAGTACTGGATCGTTGCCAACTCATGGGGTAGCGATTGGGGAGAAAACGGTAATATTCGATGTTGTACTACTTGTTCTTCGGAAAAAACATGTAGCATTTGGGTGTCACAATAAGAAGATCGAGGGGGGGTCTTTTTGAAAAGGGCACTGTCGTACTCCTATCTGAGCACTAGGCATCAAAACACACCACAGGAATTTTGCTATACCGCTAGGGAGTAGTCTCATCACAAGTGAAGTTCAGGGCACCTTTGAGATTTTCTAACGTGGTGATGGAATTCAATATAACATTGTTCAAAAGCAGCAGCTGGTAAAGCTTCTTAAGATATTCTAGAAAAGCCTCTTAGGAGTTAATACCAATTCGCTAGATTGATTAACCTTGATTCTGCTTATCAGCCGTTCCCAGTTGGGAATCACTGCACAGTTGGTCGTGCAGCTTTTTTCCCAGACCGTAAAATGAAACAATGCAAAACAAATCTACGGCTCGAAGTATTTTTTCAGGTTACTTCCGTATCCTGCGTGGAGTGAACCATTGCGAATTTGAGTCGTACGTCGTCTCAGGAGAATTCAGAGTGTAATAGTGTAAACGATAGCAATGAATTCTATGTAGAATGAATTGTTTCTGATGATCTGGTGCAGTTTTCAAATGAGTCATCGAGAACATAGCACACGACCAGTATGTACTTTTTGGTCTCAGCGAGTTCTTTAGCCCATTCTGCAGAATTAAAGAACGCTTTTTCCGAAAGTACATAAAAAATTGTTGCGGAGATAAGATTTGACGCATTCCTCATTCCACCTTCTATCTAATTCGCAATTTGTCTTACGAGAATCAATCAGTTTGCTAAACGACAGTACAAAGAATGTTGGTGAGTTACTAATCTTAATATTTTTTCAAGTGGAGCCCTTGAACTTTCGAGTGAAATCTTTGATTAAACAGATTTTATTGGCGCTTGCTTTGGTTGTAGAAGAAAATTCATTGGCAAGATGCCGTGAAATTGTTGTGCAAAACTATACAAACTTGTTTCTAATGTCAGAGAAGGTGAAGTAACTTGGCCACCTGCGGGCACAATATAAGCCATGCATCCGTATTCCCGGCCAGCCGAACACAATTACAAAACAGACACCTAAAATGTACAAGAAACCTTGTTAAGCTTTTCTTTTCACTACAGAACTTATAGGAATGTGATCATGTCAATTGCACAAAGTCAATATTTTCAGTTCAAACTCGTATTCACCATCTTCTTCGTCGTCTCTTCATCTCGAGGGACTATCACAGTAGGTGGGGAGAGTTTTCCAATTCAACTCTTTCTCTTTACTACGGGCCTCAAGAACGAACACCGGATATCCCATATCACCAAATGTGTTCTTCGAGAAAGGCTTTCAATGGCTTCACAGACGACAATAATCAAAACTACCACTTTCTATGTAGTCAAGAACCACGTGGGAATGTCGAATGGTTTAGCTAATATCTTCGTTTAATTACAAGGTAGATGGGACGATTTATAAAATGAACATCGAAGCTATCGTCTACTGATTCTATTAGGTTGTTCGGAAAGGAATGCGCGTTTGAGTTGAAAAATTTTTTTATTATAAAAACAAAACTAAACAAGATCAAATCAAACGATGCTTACCATTGCTATCAATGACTTCTTGTCTACGCTTACGCAAAGAATGGATTCTTCTTTTGAAGAACTCGGCCGGCTGCAACTCAAAGTAGTTGGACACCCTGAGTTGGACTTTTTCGCGGTTTTTGAATTTTCTCTCAGCAAGGAGTGGTGTATTGACCGGAACAGATGGTCATCGGATGGAGTCAGGTCTGGGCTGTAAGGCGGATGAGGCAGGTAATCCCAACCCCTATTCCTCAATTTTTTTCCAAGGTGGTTTTCGCAACATGTTGACGGGCGTTGTCGAGGAGGAGTTTTGTCGACGTCGTTTCGACACCTTGACCACGCAGTGCTTGATCCACTCGGTTCAATTTATCTTTGCAAATGTCCGCCGTAACCGTTTGACCCGAATTCAGGACTTCAAACTACACTCAGCCTTTGCTGTTCCACCAAACACAGAGCATCACCTTTCTGCCGTGTATATCCGGTTTCGTAGTGGGTAGAGGAGTGTCATCGGCGTCTAACCACTGTCCTTTTCGTGTTGTGTTGTCAAAGCAGATCCATTTCCCTTTGATGTAATAATAGAGTTGAAAAAACCGCTGTTCTCGGAGCGATGAAGAAGAATTTCGGCCACCGCCACTTGTGTTGCCTGGTTTCGGTCGCCCAGCTGGTGCGGTACCCATTTTCCGCACCTGTTCTTCTTGCCAATTGCAGCAAATGCTCATGGATGATAGAGTTTGAGCAGCCAACATGTGTTGCCAGTTCTCGGGTGGTTTGGTGTGGATCCAATTTGATGACGGTCTTCAACACTTGGTCATCGACGAACTGAGGCCGACTTCCATGTTCTTCGTCCTCCAAGCTTTCATTACCGTTTTGGAAACGCCGACACCATCGTCGACACTGGCTTTCTGATAGGGCGTTTTCGCCGTCTACTTCAGATGTGGCACGATGAGATCCAGCAGCCGATTTTCCTTGCTTGAAGTTGTACTACATGCAAGCCCGCAAAAGGCATTTTTCGTCAAGCACTTTTTAAACTTTTTTTTNTTTTTTTTCTTAGAAAAAAACAAAGTAGACATGGCCAAAAACATATCAAAAGATGCGCAATGAAAATCTCTTTCTA